CTAGAAAGCTTAATGGTGTTGCGGTTGTCTTTTTGCACAGATGTGGAAATCCCCCACTTTTTCTGTGAACTTAATCAGGTGGTCCATTGTGCCTGTTCTGACACCTTCATTAATGAAATAGTCATGAGTTTGTTAGCTGTGCTCTTGGGTGGCTGTCCCCTCACTGGGATCTTGTTCTCATATTACAAGATTCTTTCCTCCATTCGTATGATCTCATCAACTCAGGGGAAGTGTAAAGCATTTTCCACCTGTGCTTCTCACCTTTCAGTTGTCTGCTTATTTTATTTTACGGCCATTGGAGTATACATCAGTTCTTCTGCTACTCCCAATGCTCGTGCAGGTACAACAGCTTCGGTTCTGTACACCATGGTCACGCCCATGCTGAACCCCTTCATCTACAGCCTGAGGAATAAAGACATTAAGGAGGCTTTGAAGAGATTATTCAGGAGAGAGGTCATAAAGGGTCACCTGTCCTGGCATTAAATAAGTGACTGTGACTGAGACTGTTTATTTCTATCCTGGAGTTTAAATATCTTTTATTTTAAGCAATTCTCTTACTTTCTCTGAAATCCAGACAACTTCCCCCTTTGTCTTTTCTCATACTTCCACAAAGTAATTTCCAAATTTGAATCAGTAATTATTTGTAAACTCCCACTTACTTTATATGGTGACATGAATATAATAAAGAGTAATTCCTCCTCAAATGATACATAATACTGCAAGTAATTGTTTCCTCTGTTTTATTGAAAACAAAACAAAACAAAAAGCATACACATGACAACTATGACTATTTGTATGATTGTATTTTCTTGTGCAACTTTATTTTCATATATGTAAAATAAGCAAAATTGTACAGGAAACTCTGGGAACACAATTTTTAACTTTGTTTTGTATCATCCCTTTCTATGTCACTATCTTGAGTTCTCTTCTTCATAATGTAGACTTAGCATAGTGTTATGTTTTATAGTAGAAGGATCCTTGGTGGCATAATGGTTTGTGCATTGGGCTGCTAAACAAAAAGTCAGTGGTTTGAATCCACCTGCTATTCTGGAGGAGAAAGATGAGGCTTTTTTGCAACCATGAAATATATATTTTTAAGCTTTTATTGAGAATTAAGTGGTAGTTTACATGGAAGAACACTGGTTTTGCACTCACCCTATATTATTTCGTTTCATTGCAATGATTACAATCCCTCCATGCATCATCATTAAAAGTATTTGCTGCTGTTTCCTCTTTTTTTTTTAATGTACACAAAAGCACTCAGGAATATATAATCTTTTAAACAACCTAAGGGCATATTTTGCAAGCATGCCTCCTGGCCAACAGTGTGCAGCCTCTCTGTTTCCACAGCTATTTTATCTCTGCATGTGAGTCTAGAGTGCACAGCTACTGTATCTCTGCATGTGATCATCTCTGCCTCCATCTCTGGTGTCACTGCTTCTCTGGTTAGGGTCCCCCCTCCACTCAAGCTCTTCTCCCTTGATGATCCTGGTCTTCTGTTCCTGGAATGTAATACTAACTACTCCCCCCTTATTGTTACAAAACTTCTATCTTTACAGTTGTGACAGTCACAATTAGTCATAATAACAATACTCACTATTGAATCAGTAATGATGTTGACCCAGGATCAGGCAGTGTTTTGTTCTGCTGTGCATAAGGTTGCTATCAGTCATTGCTGACTCAATGACACCTAACAACTATGGAATCAAAAGAATCCTATCCCCATATCTTTTCACCAGATCCATCTATAAAAGGTGAAACCATTCAGTGGGGATTCTACCTTCCCCTGCACACTGAAACTAAACTCCCTCTTGAAAATTTGTAAGTCAGCCACTTCATGCCTTTTGTTGTTGTTGTTGTTAGGTGCCATCAAGTTGGTACCTACTCATAGTGACTTTATGCACAGCAGAATGAAACACTGCCCAATTCTAGGCCAACCTCACTATTGTTGCCGAGCCTTTTGATGCTGCCACTTTGCCAATCCATCTCACAGGGGGTCTTCCTCTCATGCCCAGAAAGGGGCTGTAGTGCTATGATATAGGGATTAAAACATAGGTTGAATGGGTAAAGGAGAGGAAATAATGTCAAAGTGCTTGACTGTTTTGTGGATATTGGGTTCCCCTGCTTATTAGTGTAATATAGACATTTTAGTGTGATAGAATGGATAATTGGGAAGATGATTGCAGAAAGCTTGCAAACCCATCTTCAGTTTATAACAGATTGGATTATCTAAAAGGGGTCTAGAATGTGCCCCAGAAGATAGGCTTCTTGGTAAGTTTTGCTGGAGTATGAGGCCTTATGTGGCATCCTGAGCCCCACCAGAACCTTCAGGTGTGGGACATTCCCAATTGAAAAGACATGCAGACAAACCTGGAACAGCTAGATGAACAGAAGGAACTTTTTGAAAGAATGGAGAAAAAAGAGCAGACTCTTTGGCTGTTTTCCCTAAAGCCTTCAAGGCAAGAAAAGTCAGCCCATCAGGTTAAACCTCTTTCTAAGACTGAAACACAAAGGGTCTTGTATGAAACACATGAAGAGTCTTGTATGCCCGCTAGTGAACATCCTGGTCAACTTGGGAATGGAAGTGGGGGAAATGCAGGAAAGGGTTCTGGATAGGTTTCAGGATGGGCTGGCTTGTTTTAAGTTCAGGGAGTTTTGTGAACTCTCGAGCCCAAAGTCACTGATCTGACCACTGTGGGCTAGAGCTCAGAATAAAGCAGCCAGCTGATTTGAAGAGGAGGGGGAGGCATGCGAGAACTCCCAGACTGCAGATAGACCTAGTGTGGATGGATTCCTAATGAGAATTCAGCCAGATCAAGATAAAGAAGTGTGATATAGGGAGCAAGTGTAAAGTGCCTGATCAACTAGACCCTTGCTTATGGATGAAGCTGCCCCAAATTCCAATTGAATAGAGAAGGATCCTTCATATCAAGAATCCAGCATGGATACTCACAAGTACACTGGATTGATTGGGATGGGTAACTTAGACTTCGACTAACAAAATTGGGGTGGGTGACTACAAAGTTATGAAGTGGCTGGCTTATAAGCATTCACGGGGGAGCTTAGAGTCAGAAAGAGGGGAGTAAGACAGATAGCCTACTGACATAGTGCTGGAGAGTTGATGTAATCTTGAGGTAAGACTGTACAAGTGTATTGATGACCTTCCTAGCTAAAGGAAAACTGTTCTGGAGATTCTTAGAAACTTAACTTTAAAAAAAGGTATTGGCCAGATCAATAGCTGCATACCAGGTACCTGGAGATGTATGGATTTAATCAAGCAAAGAAGCAACATCTGGGACAGAGATGCAATAAGAGTTACAACCTGGCTAGGTTTCAATAATTCACTGTCATTCTCCAAGATCCATTTGTTTTTTACACAGGACAGATAAGTGAGTTAAATGACCATATGTTGGAAATTCCCACCCCTGTATCCTTCAAGTCCTTGGTTGTAGCCTTAATTTCTGCAATCCCTCCAGGAATGCAGTATTGCTTTGGTTTACCATCTTGCTAGGTAAAGGTAGTTCTAATGGTTTCCACTTAGCTTTTCCAACCATAATAGTCTGTATTATACATTTCAAGGATCCAATGTGGGGGTTCTGCCATTGCTGAGCATGTCTAGTCCGATTATGTATTCTGGAACTGAGGTAATCACCACAAGATGAGTTCAAGGACCCACCAAAACCTACAGTTGACAGATCTTAGCTAAGATTCCCTTGATAACTTGACCTCCATATGCCCCCATGCTGACTGATGGACCACAGTGACCTTTTGGTTCCCCTGGAATTAATGTCAACTCAGAGCCAGTGTTCAGTAATCCCTCAGTAATCTAATTATTTATTTCCCCCTATGAACAGTCACTCTTGTATAAGGCTATAGATCCCTTTGGGGAAGGCTGGAAGTAAGACTAACAGCTTACAGTATAATAGGGTCCTTACACAAGGAGACACAGCCACTCATTCATTCGAGGGGTTGTCGGTCTGTAACTGAGTCAAATCTAGGAATTGATTGAGAGGACATGACTCTCTGCTTTGGTGAATCAAGTTAGACTGTCATTCACTTGATCCAAAGTTCTTCCTCTTGTATAAATCAAGTAAATATTTAGTAGGTTTCTCATCTGTTTCGCTTCTAGGGGACACCCTGCCTAATTAGCCAATGCCAAACAAATGGATTGGCAAAGTGGTAGCATCAATGGGTTCAAGTGTGGTAACAATAGTGAGGTTGGCCCAGGATCGGGCAGTATTTTGTTCTGCTCTGCATAAGGTCACTATGAGTTGGTACCGACTCGATGGCACCTAGCAACAACAACAATAAGTCCACAAAAGTCAGACTATTCTGATTATTGCTATGATTCTGCTGTCTATTATGTTAACCACATCTACTTTGTCGTTATTAATTAAGTGCTGCCTCTAGGCCCGACCACCAAGGGGTCCAATCTGCCCCATTGTGTTTGTTGTTGTTGTTGTCAGGTGTCATCGAGTCGGAACCAACTCATAGCAACCCCATGTACAGCAGAACGAAACAATGTCTGATCCTGGGCCAACATCACTACCACTGCCACACTAGAGTCCATCAGTGATGCCACCTGGAAGATCCATCTCATTGGGGGTCTTTCTCTTTTTCTGACCATCCATCTTACCCAGCATGACTTCCTTCTCCAGCGACTGTTCCCTCTTGACAATATATTCAAA